TCTTTGCTAAAGTTTTCGCCTCCCATTTTCCGAGTGGTATGAAATATACCCAGGGCTGCAGACTTGTATTTCTCGTGTCGACTATCCAGCTCATCTGGGGCAAGGAATGGAGTGTCACCCCCACAAATCTATAGCGAAAAAACGACTTTAGTTTTACACGACAGTTTAATGAGAGGGGTCAACTGAAAAACAACATAAGCTAAACGCATTGTCATTGTCAAATATAGATAATATACAAATAATAATTAGCGGGAGCTTGCTCAAGTACAAGTAGGGCATGTTTATCAGGCATATATTCAGTTCAAATGGTTTCTATTGCTTGACCTTAGTCTCCATGGAGTATAGCTTAAACAACGAAACACCCTTCAAGATAAAGAATACATGCTTTGGCAGCAAATCACTACTGACCTTTTCCATTTTGTGCAGGTAATGATCTTTTGCACTTGCTAATGCTGCCAAATTATTTGCCTCTGCAGTCGCCTGCGACAAGAAAAAAGACGTCTTATAACAAGACAGGAAAAAAACTACAGTTACACAAAACGATATATAACTAAAACTATAAGAACAAAAACAACAACAACAACAACATTACGACTACAGCTATAGCTACAATTACAACTACAACTCCAGCTCCTACTACAACTACAAGCTATAATTATAGTCTTCTTTAGGTGTAATGAGCAATTTTAGTTCACTACAGATTCGTAGTATGGATACATTGCCTATGTAATGCATGCAGTTGATTACACAAAATTTCAAAGAAGCATTTTTAGAAAGGTTAATCACAAGTATTATTTAGCAATGAATAACAATTCGTCATTACTTACAAGAAACATAGATTTGGGTTCTGGTAGCTTATCGCCTTGGAAGATCTTCATGTAAGCCTAGTTAAAAATTACAAGCAAAAGTTTGAAACGGTTTCTTTTATAATGTTATAATATAAATTCGTGATGTTCAATGAATCTCTCATTACTTTTCGGTGTAACACTGAAAAATTCAGTCGACATTTCAAGTACATGCCCACGTGTTCATACATCCTCCAATCAAAAATAGTCAAAACCATACTGATTCGATAGTTAGAGGACAAACATGAAAATTCAAAACATGCGCTCAGAAATTTAAAACAAGCTTCTCGACACTAAGCGAAAAAATAGTCATAACAAAATGAAGAGCAACAGCAAGAAATTAAATGTTTCTTATATGAAATTCTTGGTGAACGAACAAAGAACCTAACAATGTCCGCTTCAATTCCCAAATGAAAATATTGGCAGCGATAAAAGGTCTGGGACGAGGCTAAAAAGCCCTCAATACACTTGCCTTAAAATACTCAACAAGACCAAGACAAGTGACGGGCTGTCCGTTAACTTTTTTGATAACTAAATTGTCAGGGCTTAGTAAGGACGGCACAAGTTGGCTGAGATGATGTTTGAAGTCATCTTCCATAACTTAAAAATAAAGAAATATAAATGAGAGACCGTCGACCTTCGTGTAAATGGATATCTAAATAAGAACCAGCAGTGACGTAAACTGCAATTTATCATCGACAGTTAATTGGGGGGGATATTCATATATTGAACTTATTATCCATAGGGTTAATACATAATTTCTTCAGAAATCAATAAAACAAAGCATGCATTTAACAATAGTGCTCTCTCTCTGTACATTCATCAAGACGGTAGGGTTATAAACAACCTCACACTAACAAGCCAACCACACGCCCATTAAATTTACTCTAAATATTACATATTATTACCGGAAAGTTCGCCTTTAAAATCTTTGCTGGCTGCAACTTTAAGACCAGGATGTGGCATAAGAAAGCAAGAGATATCATCAAAACATGATCGGATATGGTTTCGAACTTGCAACAATTCGTTGTGTTGTTTTGGCTTTGTCTGAACATGGGATAAAACACCAATAAGGATTTAGAAATTTAAAGTAAAAGACTAGAATTATAAATGTTATAAACGTGTAAATATAAATATAGTAAAGGTTTAACCCTGTGTGCAACAGTCTACAGAAACATGAAAAGAAACTTTCTGGCATACAAACTTTTTACATGACAAATGTTCTATAAAGAAATTCGATGTTTTCAAATTTAATCAAATATCTTCGCATGCGTGCCTAATGGTTGCTTAATAAAGTATAAACAGAACTGATGAAGATGTATAGCATAAAACAATATGTAAAAACATACAAGTACAAAGGTACTTACATATAGGTTTGGTTTGTACCTCAAGACGTCGCTTCAGGATCATATCACCACCAGTGTACCCGTACTGGGCCTCGTATGCATAACTCCAGTCACGAACCAAAATCAACAAACTCTAAAAAACAAATAAAACAATAATCCTTTTTCCATTGTCGTAAACGATATACCAAAACAATAAAGTTGGGCTAAAGTTCCACAATTAGCTATGAAAGCTAACATAAGATCAACTGTAAAGATGCTGAGCTTAGAGCTGTGCAGACTCAGGCTCTGACTTCTGTTTACGCAACTCACACTAGGAATCAGCTGCAGCAGAGTTCACAGTCACAATAACAACAAAAACAATAAGCACAAAAAAAAACAACCACTCGAATGGTAGCATATATCGTCAGACCATTCAAGGTTGAGCAAAATGACACAATGAAGACACCTGGCTTGAGCCCCAAACAAACAAATTTGAGCATAATCCTAATTTAAAGTATGCTAGGGCTATACATACAGTAACGAAGTTTTCTTTAATGCCCATGAAGTATGCAAAGATAAAACACACATACAATGCCTCATCAAACTATATAGGATTCAACTAAGTACTAACTTGAAATGGTGTTGCATAGCTTTCTTCAATTGCAAGTTTACCATATTCAGTGAAAAGCTATATCAATATACAAGCATATATTTATGTATAATATCACAGAGCTTTATATATAACACAGAACAAAAGTGACAGCGGCGTGCAGTTAGTTGACAAAAAATGATGTACAACTTTTTTTCAAGAAAACTCACTGTACCACCAGAATCAGAATGAGATTGATGTAACATGAAACTACTAACTTGGAGTCTCATTCAAACAAATACTTTGTAGGTAATTATGATGTGCACAACAGTAAACTAATATTTCTAAATTGTACATTTATTTGATTGAAAATACTTGTACTACATACATCGTACTTGCCTAAAACGACCAGTAAAAATTTATGTTGAAAACCATATTTCAATTTGTGGTCTAGAAATCAATGTCTAAGATTTACTTTTTTTGCATATAGTTTAAAAAAGAGATGTGCATTTCTAATTTCAGCAAAAACAATCTGAAAATTGCATAATGCAAACTGATGATTCACATACTAGCTGAATTACAGCACCAAGATGTAAAATACAAAGAATAAACATAGAAAGAGGCTTATAATTTAACCTGGAGATGTTGCAAATCATCTTCTTGGATGTTTTGAGTAATGTTGTAGATCTGAAAATGTAAGTTTAAATCTTAGATTATGACTATGATATTATTATCTTAGATTATGACTATGACATGTGATTGTAATGGAAACAAATATAGCTGGTATTGACAATTGGTAATTCAAAAGTAAAAATTGCTTGCAAAATTTTACTTGGCTGCCACATAGAAATTAAAATGTTAGGTCATATTTCTTTTTACTTTAAACCTTAAACTTTTACAAATTGCATTGTACTAGGTAAATATGTCAGTAATGTAAATATTTAAAATAAACAATTTTTTTAGCAAACATGAGCATACTTTATGCCATCTTCAGTGAAGTGAATAAATACAGGAAGTTTACACGACTATAAGTTATAGTGATTGTATTCACTTTGCACTGAAGATGGCATAAAGTATGCCAAACATGTTTGCTTGAAGAAAATTGTCGCTTATTTTAAATGTCTTACAACCATTGTGTTCTTACGAAATTATGGAAATGTAAATATTACTCACAACAAAAACAATATCTCTAATTATAAAAGTATCAGCACATGCATTTATATCCATTTACCTGTATTGAGCTCAACATTGTGCTCAAGGCAAAAACAGTGGCACAATCCTTGACAATTTGTAAGCAATCAAATGATCCCTGAGTATCCATGAGAATAACTGCAACCTACAAAATAAACATGTATCCATTGTTGACAAATTTGAGATTATAACTATTCTGGCTAAAAGAGGCTGCAAACCTCTTCTCCATCAGGTAATGTACAAAGGTAGGGTTTACTCCAAAGAAGGATGCCAGTAGTCTCACGCTCTGCGCCACCTCTCCATGAGAAACCAGTCAACACTTCTTTGTCATCACCAAGCCAATGGTCTGGACTTTCCTAAGTATGACATGGTCAAAGGGATGAGTAATGAAATTAAAGTTATTCAAAATAAACTAATAACTTTATGCACACAGTAGACTTGTGCAATGTATTCTTCTGATAATTTAAGTATAAAAAATTTAGTTAAATAAAAATCCACATCAACGAGAGAGGATAATAGCTGGATTAGAAAATGTAAACCAAATCTCAGTAATTTGTAGCCACTGCATTCCCAACTCCAAGAAATAAATGTTAGATTATTATTCAAATTTTAGTACAATACTAAAATAAGCAATTGCTAACAGGTGTTAATTTTAATGATTCTACAGTGAAGCAACAAGATTTTAAAAATGTTGCATGAATGACAACAAGCGCCAGGCTTGTTTATTATTACTAAACAGACCTCTTTATTGTCGATTTCAGTTAACTTTTCAAATGGCGGTTGCCAAGTTACTTTCTAATGTTGCCAACTACATTTACAAATATGGAATATTCGTTATGAACTTGTCAACTTGAGTTGACAAGTTGTGTACTTGAGTACTGAAGTTGTGAACTTGAGTACTGAAGTTGGGAACTTTAGTACTAAAGTTGTGAACTAAAGTTGCGAAGTACTGGCACACGCGAAAGGTCTTGGTACCCTATAGACATTTGGCAATGAATCCGTTCAGTAAGCAAGGAAAAGCTTTAGCAATAGAAGTAAGAAATGAAATACTTGAAAGGTGGTTAAATAACCAGCGTTTGACAAACATTTTGAAACAACTAAATCTACCGTATAAGACTATATCAACTATAATAGATCTATGGGTAGACACTGGTTCTATTGCACCTCGCCAGGGCGAACGTGATGTTCGAACCACGCGTACAGATGACGTTATTGCATACGCTGAATATCTAAAATTAATAAACCATCTATTTACGCAAAAGAGATTCAGCAACACCTAGAAAATATCAAAGTTTGCCTTCCAGCAAACTTACCTAGCAGGTCATCCATTAGTAGAATTTTGAATAAAGATCTTGGTTACTCTTACAAGATAATAAGTCAAATTCCTCGAGAGACAGAACGGCCGGACGTTATGGAGAAGTTAGAAGCTTACGTAGCAAATATTTCATTGATTGATTGCAACCGTATGCATTTCTTTGATGAGTCGCCTGTAGTTGTTACGAGTGGCAACAGACGTCGAGGGCACAGTATGCAGGGTACTACTGCATTTAAAATCCAACGATACTCTTCTAGTGCCACATCTACTGTAAATTTATTACATAATGTAAACGGCGTATCGCATTATAACACTCTTAGAGGGCCGTCAAACGGATTAGAATTGCTAAAGCTTTTCCTTGCTTACTGAACGGATTCATTGCCAAATGTCTACAGGGTACAAAGACCTTTCGCGTTTGCTAGTACTTCGCAACTTTAGTTCACAACTTCGGTACTAAAGTTCCCAACTTCAGTACTCAAGTTCCCAACTTCAGTACTCAAGTACACAACTTGTCAACTCAAGTTGACAAGTTCATAACGAATATTCCATATTTGGAAATGTAGTTGGCAACATTAGAAAGTAACTTGGCAACCGCCATTTGAAAAGTTAACTGAAATCGACAATAACATCGATTCTATTTTAAATAATCTGAGGAAGAATTTCACCGTAGAAATTACCAAATCATAGCAAAAACTTTTCCATTCAAAAACAAAATAAAGTGATAAAATTTGCAAATTTCATCAATCTATGTACTACAGTACGTCGATTATCCACAAGTAAATCACTAATTCAATTCCACATTTTTTCGTACCTTTCGATCCAGATAACGCAGGAAGAAATCCAACAGAAATGACTTTCCTTTACGAAAAGCCCCAGCAACGGAAATCACAACAACCTTTTGTCTCGTATTCTACTGTCGCTTAACAAAATTTCTTCAAGAGCATCCTCGTTCAATGTAAAAACGTGTTCTTCTTCGTCAGTGGCGACGATTTGAACCGGTCTAACACCCATGACGATGTCAAAACACTTGGTATGTCGCGAAAGCCAAGTTGTAAGATCTGCTAAAATAAACGTTTCTACGTCTTATAACGACTAAATACTGGAAAAGTATGTAAGCGTGATATACTACACAACTTTTGTTAATCTTGCTTTCTTTTCTGAAAATATCCTTATCAGGTCCACACTTGGTGAAGATTCATTGGGCATATTTTACAGACATACCGATGCAACAGCATGATTTATTACAGCATGATTATTGGTTGACTGTGTTTTAACAAATCTTCCTTGGTCATTTTCCAACATCAAATATATATTGCTTATGCCTAAATCCCAAATGCGTTTTCTTCTTCACTCTTTTCAGGGTGGATGAAAAAATGTATTATTTTCTGAAAAACGGCAAATTTGGTGGCTAAATCGTAGCAGTAATTGACCGATACCGCCATTTTTTGCATGGGAATCAGCTGACATCTACAGCCGTGATTGAGAATTCAATGATCAATTTCATCTATATTATACAGATTTATGATGTGGACAGAACTCGGTATGATGAAAAATATTGACCGATTACCTTTCCACTACATACACGTTCGTTAAAAATGCTAAAAACTAGTTGGTGGAAGCATAACGCACCTTATTAGTATTCTTGATTGTTCAGACAAGACTTGTGAATTTTGACGTCTTTCTTCGGTGGCGTTTATGTTTGTTGTGTTTAGAATTTCCTTCAACACGAGCAGTTCAACTGTTGATTTCCCCCTCTATTAATGACAATCACTTGCGTAGGCAGAAAAGGGCCAAAATATAATTGTATAATCAAGTGGCACATCCGCTAAGAACATAAATAGCATGGCATGTTAATTGTATGACATGATGTTATTGCTCGGTTCAAATTTGACATAAACCAAAATTGCCAACAACGAAACAGGCAATTACTACCACAGTCCACTGCAATCATCTTACTACTACTTTTCGAAACTTACGTTCCTTGGTGTCGTTAAAAAAGCGGTGAAGGAAGTTTTCATTCCCCAACGCCTACATTTTAATTGGGGTAATTATGTACAACAAGAACTTTGAACACAGACTTGATGTCATTTAACATTTAGCTTGAAAGAAACAAGAATTAAAATTCTTCCTACAAAAACACAAGTTTGTTCATATTATCATAAAATGTAAATTGAGTGCTAAGAGTGCTGTAGATTACGTAGAAATTACTGACAGGAAACATTTACCAATCCTATGTCAAATGCAAGCAATCGAAAGGGCCAAACAAAAGATTTCCTTTGTCCGTTTGTTGTAGAGAATTCTTTAGCTATTTTCCTAGGATAGGTCTTACCTCACTCTTCCTGAAAAATGCTCAAAAATAATGTTTTTTGAACTCCGACCTTATGAAAATCCTTCAATTGAAGGAAGAGGGCATCCCCTGTACGTTGCACGAGCTCGAACTTGCCTATATTCCACAGTGCTACACGCCTATGGAATATCAAATAGGACTGAAATTCAGTAAAGAACTATTAGATTGCCGATTATGCCAACCGATGAGTGAAAATTAAGAAAGACTGTCTAAGAAGTTTATTTATAGCAGGAAAACAACCAATAAAAATCAATAATTAAAATCACAAAGAGCGCAGAAGAAAAGTATATAATTTGGACCGGCGTCAAAGTCATTGCAAACAGCTTCTCGTTTTAAACTATAATAAACCCAAGCAGCTACTCTAAAATTTAAAATTGTTCAGAAATGTGTTTTGTGCGAATTGTCGTTTTTCATGATAAATTATTCAATGTTTTAAACTAGAGAATAGAGATTATGATAAAATCTTCATCTTCTTGAAGACTAAATTTCTAATTTTTTTTTTGTGGGGGGGAGTTTTCAGGGTTGACTAGGCCCCAATTTGGAGCCATTCGGAGCCTAGTCGTGTGTACTTTTAGAGAAAAGTTGCCATAAAATGTAGTATTCAAGAACGTTGCGCGAGAAATCATAAATCAACCAGCTCACGATATAAGGAACTTATTTTAATACATTGAAATGTTAATATAATTTTTGTGTTGTTGATTTACCATCATGCATTGCGTGCCTCCTTGATTATTGCCATGAAAAAAATGAGCGTTTTTATGTTCATTTTAGATAACGATAGGAAAGTCATCCGTCAAGATAATATTTAAGATTAAAAATTCAAATGGCAGGGGGTTTAAAAGCTACAATGTGCAAGAAAATACTAAGCGATAAAGAAACGCATGAAAAAGCCTGGAAAAAAGGAAAATACATTTGATGACATTTTTTCAACATGGTGTTGCTTTCCAGAGCCCTCTATCTATTGGGCTTCTTTGGTGCTTCCAGGTGCAATTTTTATGATACTATAATGCGTTGAGAATTTATTCCATCAAGTTTTTTTCATCAAATATGCAATCTGATTATTTACAAAAGTTGCCTGAAATATTAAACAAACATGTCCAACAACTAAACAATATGAAACTCAGCTTTCATTAAAAACCAATTTCAATGGAGACTTAGCAGGTTACCAAATAACTAAGAATAAAAATAGGAGCTCTGTCAATAAAGCATGGAGTTTTATGTTAGGGTAAAGTGGGATATAGCAGCCCAGTACCCATGGATGTTTTAAATTAGGGTAAAGTGGGATATAGCAGCCCAGTACCCATGGATGTTTGGATACATGTTAATAACACAGTGATGGCTCCAAGAAGGCCATGCCAGGATATGAAATGTGGCTTATTGCTTTGATTCTTGTTTATAAAGATGATAAGAAATTGTCCAACAGCACATAAAGCAGTAGCGGATCCAGGGTTAGGCAAAGTGAATTATTGTTTTATATAAAATACCTTATATAAATTTTAACATTATATGTAGTTTTAAAATTTAATTATGATATGTAATTATAAATTTAAAATATCTTTATATAAAAGTTACTGGTTGTAAATTTCTAAATAGTAAAATTAACCAATGAATGTGTTGAAGTAATTTATTTAGCCTACAGCTAAGTCTGCCCCTGACAAATGGAAGTACAAAACCTTGACTGCACGAGTTCCTTTTAACAAGGTTTCTGCTTTATGAGAACATCATGAAATAAAAAGAACTTTAGTTTGGTGATAAACTAATGGTTGGCTATCACTACTATTGCTTGGTTAACAGACAACTTTGGAACTTGATTCTTTCAGTATTGAAGCTATGTTGTACCATGTTATCTAGCTCTTACTTACACTTATTGCTAAAGCTCCCTAACTCATGAAATTATTTTGCATCATTTACAATAAACTGAAAGCCTCTAATTGTTTGTTTTACTAGTGAAACCCTTTAAATGATGGATGTATTTGCAAATTGGGTAATGAACCATTGTTAATAAATATTTGATGATGTATCAATAACAGTTTCTCACGTGAAGAACCATGAGTATATGGTGCCATGAAAACAGACTGTACAATGAAAGGTAAGAAATAAAAATACGCAGTTAGAGGAAAGTGTTGGGTTTCATATTATAATTAAAGAAACTAAGCCATCATGGCACTTGACGTACGTAAGTATATTTAGTTGATCACTGACAGCAAAAACTAAAATATTCGATACAAACAAATGAACAATGTTTAGAATTATGAGGTAAACAACACCAACTTTTAACATCATCCAATCATAATGGCTGTCATACTTACGTTGCAATTTCATTGGATGATATATGAACTTAGCATAGCAACCGTACTTTTGGCGCGACAATAAAAGTGGACTGTTGTAAGGGGAAGGGAAAAAAAGTAAAGCTGATTTAACTTTAATTGTGCATTGTCGTCGTTTATCGTCGTGAATTATACTCTCTCGTGCGCACATGCATTCACGGTACGCAGGGGAATCAAGTAATAATATCATATTTAATATCCATATTTTTAAATATTAGTCAATAACTTCCACCATTCAATACATATTTTCATAAACCTTATAGGCAGTACAAAATGAAAATGGATGTGATTCTCGCTTTATAATTTTCCGCCTCTTTCTGCTCGCCATCTTTCATATGCAATTCATAGAGCAGCTCATACGTTTCTACAAGCCATGGATGATCTTTTGAAAATAACATTTCCATCATACCGAAACCTTTAAAAGGTTTTTCTTTGCTTTTCGAAGGTTGTCCTCGGTGTAACTGGCAGCCTTCCTGTAAAGTTTGACAGCTTTGTCACACTTTCCTAGTTGCTGCTCGTACCATGCTTTGTAGGTTAGGACGCGTGCAAATTTCTCCTTCTCTTTGATTTCTTTTTTGAGTATTTTATTCAAACACTTTTTTGCATCAGCATATCGACATGTTTCCAGGTAACAGTCTGTTATCTAAACGAAATATTAAAAAAATATGATGTCACACTTTGCGTCACATTGATTGCGAGCAAGTTCTCGCACGTTGTGTTCAAGTAAATTAGCTAATTGCCGATTGAAAATCTTCCAGGTTTTTCGTGCATTTTGCGATGTTTATAAGAAGATATTTTCAACAAGGTGAAATCACTGGCAATTTTCTTTTGCAGACGGCTGCTTGTTTGGTACGAAACGATTGTCGATTCATATGCTTTCCTGCTTTGATAGGCAAGTCCAGAAGCTTTAGCAAGTTCTGCTGAAATGATCAACGTGGTTTTTCTGATCAACTTTTCTCTTCTCACTTTCGACTACGGAAAGTTGTCGACGACAAAAAACCTACTCTGTGGAGGCCCTTAGCAATTTTATTTACAAATCGATGTAGTAAAATATACTTGGAGCATGATATTGATGATTTTTGGTTCAATCAAGCAGAGACGAAATGCCTTTTTTTCATTTGTTCGGTGAATTAATAGTTTGAAAACGTTGATATATATACTTTTGAAATTTTTTTGAAAATATACTATTAAATGTTTTATAAGCCGTCTTTTTATCACATAGATTTTTCATGTTTTTCTTTTGTGATGACAATTTTAAACTGGTGCACTTCACATTTTTTCAAAGACTTCTTTAGTTGATAACTTATTTCTTGTGTGATAATTCCGAGGCTATGTGCAAGCGTAGCGATTTTTGGTTTCAAGATGGCGGACATCGTTGTACAACATTGCGGTCAAAAAACGCTCATTTTCTCCTTAATGTGCAACTTTCAGATGCGACATACCTTCGGGAAATGATAAATATAATATAAACTACCTATGTTGTAAAATTGAGCTGGTTCCTCAGTGGACGCATGGCGATGTTATTTGTAGACGACTTTTTGCTATTGGGCCCATGGCCTAGTAGCTACGTGTTTGATTTATCTCTGTTTTTTAAGCGTCATCCCTCAATTTAGAAATGACGTTTATTTTTCTAACATTATTAATATCGCATGATTTTGAAGTTCTTATTTAGCAGACATTGACATCTGATGAGTAGTCTGTCGAAATGCATAGTGTCTTTTAAAACAGTTCTTTAAAAACAGTTCTTAGAATTGTTGGGTTAGTGCCCTGGTTTTAAACAGTTTTTTTAAGAACTCGCTATCATGTTATTATTTTAACTATTCACCATGGTAGCTACTTGCTCTTTTTAACAAAGTAAATGGTTAAAAATGAACCAAGCAAAAACCATACAGAATTGGGAACAAAGTAAAAGGTTAAAAATGAACCAAACAAGAAACTTACTTTACATCAAAACAAATGTGCTGCTTTACAGCTTCCCTTTTCTCTATTTGTTCACATGTCTGCATTTTTCATTTAGTAACCGCCATGGCGAGCAATTCAACCTGTTAGTGGCCATTGCTTGTGCGAGCAATAATCACGAAACGAAACTTATCTGAGAAAACATCTTGCCCCAAGAGAGTGAAAACACGATGCTACACACATTATGTGTGTCCGCCTAAAAGTTTGTCAATCTCGAGTTCTTTAACGTAGACCGCATAGAGTAGTTACATTATGATGCATTTCACTACATATGGCCCTTAGAGGGTTAAGTACAGGTTTCGGTTAAATATATAACACTAACAGGGACTTGTTATGACTCACATCACAGCAGTTTTTCTCTAGAAATCCCATGTCTGAAAATAGTGACATTTAAAACGGTACGAATCTTATCCTGTGAGAATAGACGAACTTAGTAGCTATCATAAGAGCAACAAGAATCACTTTGGCAATATCGCCAGACATCAGAAACCAAACAATCAAAAAAAATTTTTATTTGAACAAACGTCTCTATTTAAATATGGCAAAATTCGTGTAAATCAGACGTACCTGTGTCGAGAGAAGAGCTTGTTCAAATCAGAAATTTGTCAATATACCGCAAAAGTCTTGAGAAAATGATGGTATCTGTTTCAATGCGATTGCTTTTAGAATTTGTGAAGCTCCTTATTATGGCAGACGTAGAGTCGCAGTCAAACACTGCAGGTTGCTATCTAAGATAGAAGGAATGTTGATGAAATTGAACGAATCTTATTCGTTGGCAAATAATTAGTTATGCTACTAGCAACTGTTGCTACGATGCAAGAAAAATTTTTAATTAAAAACAGTGGATTTGGTAAATTGACAAAAAATTCCAATTCAAATTTGGGGTTCAATAGCACAGAATATATTTGAAAAAGTCGTCTGGTTTTTGCATTTTTGTTAAGTCCATTTATTTACCTTTCAAGAGACATGTTGTACGAATCTTTCAGTTGTGAAATGAAGTAGCATGTCTTTACAAATTTAGTTCATAAAAATCACAATTTTCCGCCAGTGGGAATTCCTTTTTTTTTTCTTTCAAATCTACTCCCATAAGGCCTTTAAATGCTAATCATCACTGCAGACTTAATGCAAATTACACTTCTTCTTGTATTGTATGCTTTACTAACACTATGGTTTCAATTAAACATGGCAGAAGGCACATTTCTTGTGAAAACGTTTTTTGAAACCAGTCGCTTACAAAAAACACGCAATCAGTTCAAACAAAGATTTCCAGAACGACAAACTTTCAGTATCAGTACAAGTATGAGTATGTACAAGTATGAGTATGTACGTAAAAGTACAAGTATCAGTTACGTCAGTATCATCTGGTACACTTGTACAACGTGCGTAAGGGGGTGTTTACATGAATCCGGAATGACTTTCAATCCCGATCGAAACGTGATGTCAATCCGTGTTTACATGAAACTAATCGTTGTTTTTATTCGCATTCATTTTAACCCATTTAGCCGATTTATTTGCTTACGAGCTTCAATTTGCCAGAAGACAATAACCATGGCACATGCGTGCTTCGTCATTAATCGCAAATCATTCCAGAATGAAATTCAATTCGCGTTTACATGAGATAAAAAGTAAGTTTCGATCCGGATTGAAATTTCGATCCGGAATGAAACTAGGAATGAACTCGATCCGGATCGAGTTGTGACTCATTCCGGATTCATGTAAACATGCAGTAGGATTTCTTTTAAAGTGGAATGAGTTCATTCCGGATCGAAACTCATTCCGGATTCATGTAAACACCCCCTAAATTTGAGCAGAGTGGAACAAGCATAAATCGTAATAAAATTATGTAAATTTTATTCGAAAACGAGTTCTTTAATGCTAAATTGCATTATCTTTTGTTTTGACGTCTCACTTCAAATTCCTATTGGCGGAAAAATCTTATTTCAAGCTATAAGTTTGAACAGAAGACTGCGTGGTTAATTTTGATAGAATCGTCAGTTAAGGTGTATAAACAGAAGCCTAGTAGGTTATTCTTTACCACCATGTAAAAACTGTAAGCTTCACTCAAGTATGCTGCAGGCAGTTACCGAAAAAAGTTGGATTCGAATTTTGTTGATATAGCTACACTTTATTGCTTGCCTTCATGATTGTTGCTTGCTGTGCTAAGAATCATGATTTGTGCAAAGAATCAAGATAAACTAAGGGTTAGCTATCACTACTATTACCGGGGCAACACAAAACTTTAGGAACTTAATTCTTTCGACATTGAAGTTATGATGCATCATATTAACAAGCTCCATTTTACACTTTCTTTCTACAACTGCCTAACTCATAAAATTATGTACCATTGTTTACACTGTTCTTGTTAACACAGAACTTTGGAACTTGATTTTTTCAATATTGAAGCTATGTTACACCATGTTATCTATCTATATCTTACACTTATTGCTAAAGCATCCTAATTCATACAATTATATGTAACATCATTAACAATATACTGAAAACCTCTAATATTTTTTTTACCAGTCAAAACCTTGGAATATTGGATGTAATAGCAAATTGGTCGAATAGCATTGTTGATGAATATTTGATGTCGTGTCAATTACAATTCTCACCGCAAGTACAATAAGATTAGGGAGCTATGAAAAAATACCGACAAAATGGAAGGTAAAGTGTTTTGTTTCATGCTCTACTGTAGCATAGCCCGCCAAGGGCAAGGTAAATGAACATTTTTTGAAAACAAGTTAATAATTCTTAGGATTTACATATTCAGATTAAAGGGTCAATGTGCAAGTTGGCTATGTTATTGATGTTTACCAGTCAACCAGTAAGTTTGATATTGGTTGACCAATGACTTAGAACCCAATCTACTGGGTATTTGACTCCGCCGAAATTGTATAGTAATGAGTGAGGCAAGCCCCCATCTTGAAAGGTGGCAAAACTGACGATATTTACGACTAATATCTACTTTTGCTGAGTTGATATATATTTGCAAAGTTCATAGTCCATGTTTGATTCTTAAAATGTTTGATAGGATGGTATTTTAAACTTTGTTTAACTTATTTTTAATTTTGAGTTTTGCTTTTTGCCACCTTTCAAGATGGCGTCTTTGCCGCATCTTGACATCTAGAAGATTGGGTTCTAAATCATTGTGGTTGATAGTTCACCATAATCATGGCAACACACATATCATTTGTGCAATAAACAGTAAAAGTGCAAGTTGTTAATCAGTAACACCACTCACCCCCACTCCGGTCCTGTAAGTGACAAATGCCTGAGAAAAAAGTTTATCATTTCTTTGGATGGTATATGCATTCAGCAAAAAAAAATTGAATCTTAGAACAAACTCCGTAACATAAATCAATGTGAAGCTGAATGAAATCAGATTGAAGTTTACAAAGAATCTTAAAATAAACAGGTACACTAGGTATCTCCAGATTCTAGCTTAGAGGTACAAGCTGGATTGTTAGATACTGCTGACTATTGTATTAGTTCAGCATTATGGCCAAATTGTAACAAATTATCCGTATTTTTTGCGAATGCGTGACAAAAATGTGACAGAATATCATGCATCTAATGACAATATGGCGACTGGTAAATCATAATGGTTAGAAACAATATTCAAAGCTCACCAAAAATTTGTTTGTATTGAACATTTATTTCTGCGTATTATTGTGCTACAACCATGACATATTAAACCATGACCGCTTGCGGTCGCAAAGAATTTTTTTTAAAATGAACGCCTCCATTATTCAATGACTTTCTACTTACAGTGTTGTATGCGAGTGGATATAATGAAAACATATGAAAGCAATAAAATTGTCAACTATGTCCATTCTTGTATTGTCTTTTATTTGCTACTGTATTTCGTATTTATTATGATAGACGTACCAATCCAAATGACAGACTGTGTCGTAATTCAAACTATGTGAACTTTAATTGACTTCAGGAGTTAGAAACTGCTCCTACTGTTTATAGAAAAAGGATGGTAAGGAAGAGACTTCCACCTTACTTCACTGGTAGTGTCTATATTCTTGGCCATTTTGTTTATCTCGCTGTATATCCTAGCTCTCTTTCGTTTGTAATTTTCCGCTTTCGCCAGGTCGCCATATCTCACAAATATATCGTAGAGCAGCTGATAAATTTCTGTCAGCCATGGATGATTTTCAGAAAACAAATTTTCAATCATGTCCAAAGCTTCCAACAGGTTCATCTTTGCTTCTTCGAATCTTTCTGCGTTGAAAAGGCAAAGACCAAGAACTGACAGGTTAACGGCAATTCCGGGATTATTATAATCAAGAACATATTTCTTCATCTTTTCCTGAGCTTGTTGGGCATAGACCAAAGCAAGATCGTTATCGGGTGGATTTTTTAAGGTCAGATACCTTGCTAAATTTCTCAGTATTAGAGAGTCGCCTATCTCGTCTCCAATGTAATCGTATATAGCTTTAGCATCCTCCAGATTTTTCTTAGCCGCATCGAAGTCACCTTTCTTTAACAAACAAAACCCAACATTGAAAAAAGATTCGGCTACAAGAGGATCGTTTTTCTCTTTGCTTAACTTATCCCTTACATCTTGGGCTAGAAGAACAAAAGTGAGGGCTTTTTCTATCATTCCAAGACTTAAGAAACACAATCCAATGTTATTGAGAATTTCTGCCTTTTCAGGATTAACGTCGTCTGCGGTGTATGTAGCTGCCTCCTGTAAAGATTGACAGCTTCGTCATATTTTCCTAGTTGCTGCTTGCACCATCCTTCATAAATTAGGATGCGAGCAAATTTCTGCTTCTCTTTGATGTAATTTACGATTACTTCATTTAGATATGTTTCCGCATCATCATATCGAAATGTTTCCATGTAAATGTCTGCTATCTCAATCAAAGAATCTACAAGAAGCAAGTCAGACTTTGGGTCACCTTGATAGCAGAGAAGGTCTCTGACACTGGTTTTGAGTAAATAAATTGCCAATTGAAAATTTCCTTGTTTTTTTGTGCATTTTGCTATGTTATAAGTAATCTTCATCATGGTAAAATCGTCCTGTTCGTCAACCCTAACTTTCCTTTGCAGAAGACGCTTGCTTGTTTTGTACGAAATGATTGCAGATTCATATTCTCTCTTGCTTTGATGTGCAAGTCCTGCAGCTTGAGCAAGTTGTGAGGCAATTTCTGGAGATATTTTTTGATAGTGTTGTCCTTTATCAATGGACGCGAGTACAACAAGCATTGCGGAGGCAACAACGTCGACGAGAAACATGTCGTTGTGAAGTTTTCGTCATCCATGGCATCTATCATGTTTTGGACGTTAATTTCATCAAGCTTAAATTTTTTTAAGCTCTTACCACGTGGCGACAGCCTTTGAAACAAAGTTTTGTTCCCTCTGTTTTTCTCCACAACGTCGTTAAAAACTGCATATCCATCGTTGGATGCATTCACAAAATAATACAACCAACTCGAAAGACCACCATGAGAAGGAATTTCTGATTTGGAAGACGAGGGTGGTGCAATTGATAAAACCGAAACAATTTTTACTTGTTTACCATCTTTGCAAAACTGTTTGTGCACGTGGTATAGCTTGTCTTAAAGGACAATTTGCACCAACACCACCGTCGACAAATTCGTCGTTGCCAATTTTA